GTTTCCGTTAAGTCAATGCTCAAAAATGCATGCACAACAGTTTCCGCCACAAGTCAGTAAAACCCTGACTTCTCATCAAACCCTCCAGTGGAGAGGACCCTACCTCCATAAGGCTGGCTTCAAAACGGCCCCTTTCGAGGTAGCCAGATTAGGGAAGCACGCGCTTTGGAATCCACTGCTTTGGCAATGATCCGGCACAACCATCGTTGAACATTTCAAGCCGAAACATGGGGCCTCGTTGGCCTGAAAGCACGTGGTTCTGGAAGTGGTTCCTCAGGCACGGCAATGTCAAGAACAAGTGGGTTTGTGATTTGTCGTTCTTTTTTGGAGGATACCCTTGAACCAAGGAGCGTCGCCCACTTGGGGGGGGGCCCGCCATTCTCACGCATACCCAAGTCCAGAACAAGTGGCCCGGACGCAAGCACAGTCAGGTGAAATTTTATCCGGGCCAGGTTCTGGATGTCGGTGTTCAAACCATACTACACTCCTGCAATCTCCTGCAGATCAACATGGAACCAAGAAAAAAACCACGTCCTTGCGAGTCCTTAGAGGAAATCCCTTTGGCCCCTTTTGTGGCACGGGAATACTCTTACAGAAGCCAGGAACTGCAAGTCGACCTGGACTTCTTTGCCTGTGCAAACGATCCGGCAAATCAAACCGCCCTGATCCGGAGCGCACTTGAGCTCGTAGCAGAGCTACTGCCAAGTTCTAAGCTGTCTTTTTCAGTCCTAAGCGAGCCATAGAAATATAGAAATGACTGTGGTACCGCCAATCAAGTTTCAGGAGTTCTCGAAACTTGCTTCCCAAACAAGGAGTAGGCAAGAATCAGCCAGGCGCCAAAACTTTCGGAGCTGGAAATGACTTCCGCAAAGCATTGCTCTCATCGATCTACGGGACCAGGACCGGCGAGGATGAGGATGACGAGGACGAAGATGGCGACGACGACGACGACGACGACGATGATGATGGTGATGATGGTGATGATGGTGATGACAATGATGACAATGATGGTGGTGATGACGATGACGATGATGATGCTGATGGAGATGGAGATGGAGGTGATGATGAGATGAGATGTGGAGCCGAGCAGCAACCGTCGCCACACGATAGCAAAAACCCTCACCGTTCATGTACAGTCTGTGCGTTTCAGTCAAGCAATCCAGTGCCTTCCAGGCTTCGTAGAGCCTCCAAAATCCGGACGGATCCCCGCATCATAAGCCTCGAAGGCCACTACATGAATGCAATTCGGACAAAACCGACGAAAGCTGGCTGTTCTGTTTACCTCGGACTATATAGGGTTTGATTGCGCATAAAAGTGCGCGGATCTTGAAGGCAATCCCCAGGTTCATTCAATCAAGCTTGCTTTTTTGTTTGCCGCGAAGACCATGGAAGCCACTAGGCAGGCACAAGGCCGCTTCGTTCATGACGTAACCTTTTCCACTCCAATGATTATTAAACATGCACGCTTGACAAAATCAACAAATGATACAAACACTTTGTGCCAAGCATCATATTGAAAGAGCACAAACAAAGATGCGATTGGCTCCACAAAGGGGTTGTCGCATCCAAAAATCAACTGGAACCAGGTCGGATGCTGACAAGCCACATTCATGGGATTTCAAATAATATTGGTCAGTAGTGGGGTGGCTGCTTGGCTACTTGGCTTGATTGGTTAGTGATTGCTCAGCTGTAAGATGGCAGAGAGGCTAATTTGGAGCACAACCAAAGTGATCAGAAACGCATCAGCTATCATCTGTAAGCCATCAAGGGATGGCAAAACTGACAGACTATTATCCAGGCTTGGAGGTGCACAAATGCAAATCAGCTTTGTGTGAAAGCCATGGAACTTCTTGCAACCTGTGATAGTGACCAGAACCAATCTCCAGCTTGCTTCACCACTTGTTGCCCCGTGTCCACTGCCGCAACAGTCGGTTTATCCGACACTCGAGATGGATGACATACTGCATCTGGCGGTGGGTGGTTTGTTATCCCAGAGGGATTCATCCTTGCCAACTGGTGCGGGGACTTCGTCCATCCATATGACTGTTGGAATTCCCCCCCCGAAAGCGAAGATTTTGAGGGGTTCTCATGTGGGACTCGGTGGTCTTCCTTTACAGCTTTTCAGGGCCGTTCCCTACAGGGTTGGCATGAACCAAAATTGGCTGAGACAAAGGAACCGATGAACGCAGCTTCCAGAGATCAAATTGAAGAAACTCGAGCTCCTTGCACGGGGAAATTGGGAATTTTGACATCGTGGACATAGAGAGTTTCCGGCCTCCAGCAGAGTGCGACGAAGCGCCTGCAGCGAGCTATCCAGGAGTTCCGGAAAGGCGGCCATGGGATTGCTCGCAAATCATGCGCCAGAGGAAGGAAAGCACGGCACGATGCACATGTTGCTTGGTCTTCTTCTTGTTGCTGTTAGGTGCAGGTGAGGGTACAGGATCACCATCCCACGATCGTCCGAGTGTCCCAAACAACCATCCCAGACAAGAGGGATGTATCTCATAGGGAGACGTAGAGGGCTCTAAGGCCTTTTGACCGTGACGTGGAATAATTCACTCAGAAATGGTCTTTCCTTCACAGCAAATCGAGCCGCTAAGCAACGATTCGAGGCTTTCGAGTCAATCAGGAAAATCTGCCAGCTGAACTTCCGCCTGCCCGTTCGCAATCTTTTCTCGCGCTTTGACACGCACTGTTGGTACTCTTTGGCTCTTTGGTGAAACTCTTGCCAGTCAAGTGTCGGCACTTAAGTGCACAGGGCAGGGGGAAAAAATGATGGCGAGACAGCTCACGCTGTCCCATCCCTATGTCTCGGCTGCGGACGAGACACCTCCTACCATAATGAACAAACATGTGGTGAATGTGATACCACAGTCATAATATATGGCACCTTCTTGTTGGAGTGCTTTATTTGCGCCTCTTGACCACAGGCTTGCACTAACGTGTCCATTAGCTTGCGCAGTGAACATTGCAGCGTAACCGATTCCGCGGTGCGGGTTTTGGCTTTGCCAAGCGCCGCAAAAGGCGTTTCTATCCATCGGAAGCAGCCATCGGGAAAACCGCTGGACAATGGACTTCTTTCTGGATCAAATTTAGCCGAGGAAACCAAAGGAAACCCCATGTATAGCAACCGTGCCCTACCCTTCACCTACAGTTTTGATTGTGGTTCCATTGGCAAGCCGATTTTCGGATTGAAAGCAGGGCTGCTTACCTGGACTTTTTCAGGTTAGAATGCGCCATCGGAATGCCAGCTGGCTCTTCTCTGGAGAGATGTTTGTAAATTTGCAAAACAAAAACATTCGCAAACACAAGGGGCACGGCATAAGCAATTCGCAAGAAACTGCCCCTCGGCACGGTTGCTAAAGTCGGAATCACTGGATTGTTCGGTTTCCCGAGGCAAAGCTCATGTTCGAGCGAGAAAACGAGCGTGCCTACCGCACCAGTGTAATTCTTAAACCGGCACACAGCAGCCCGGCCCCATGAATATTGGATGCCACTGGGACATTCAAAGGAACATCTGCGATGCTTTCTGGGTGTCTGACAAAGCCAGTAAAGCATCAGAACTAGCAAATCCCCTTGCGCAACCACTTGCAAGGCTTGTTCTTCGCTGTATTCTACGGTAAGTGAAACGCGACGAAAAATGCTGGATCGTTTGTTAGGAATCAACCAACGGCCTTGGTTTTCAGGTGGTTGGGGAGCGCTGGGATTGGCCCTACTTATATATAAAGCGCGGTGCTCCAAACTCACAAATCCTTGAGCCCTCGCGCTGATGGCAAGGTCTGCACGTCCCTCTGCACAGAATCCAAGACCTCGCGCATGTCCTTGGAGCAATAATTTCTATATTAGGTACCCTTTATCATTTTGGGGTGCTGAATGACATGAATCAAACGTGGAAACTGCGCCATAAGTGGAACAAACATAGATGCAAGAAACTGAGCGCCACACGACTAAACACATGCAGTGCAGTGATGCTGAGTGTGCCAACGAGGGCAAGCACTGGAAAGCGTCGTGGGGGAGCTTGGGGGGCACAGACCTGCAAGCCACTCAACCTGCCAGCACCCCGCAACTGGCAAATGGTCCAACAGATAGGTTGCTTGACAGACCATTGGTGTGATTTCTGCAAAGTTTTGGAACTCAAACTCGTCACATGGGACTCGGTCAAAAGCAGGAATCCGAGGGGTAGGTCGCCTAAAGCACCCAAAGAAAGTGAGAAGACCCATTGAGTCACTGATGCTTGGAAAAAAAAACACACACGTGTGTTTCATGACTGGTTGGCTATCCTTCCACTGCTCCCTTTGCTCGAGTGATGTCAAACAGAGCAAGAAAAACGATACTTTACAGCTTGGGAAAAGCGTTGAGCGTGCCGCCCTTTCGGCCCACAAATTGAACATGAATCTCAACTAGGGAAATTAATGTGTGTATAACATATATACACATTGCAATGATCATATTTTTTAATATACATCCGGGCTTACAGAATAAAATATTGGCCTTGTTGAAACCTCATGCGCAACGTAGTAAGCAATGTAGTAAAATCAGCTACCCAAATGGCTCACTGAGGTTTTGCGAGTTGCTCGCCTGAACATTGGCCGGTGTCAAATCAAAGCCCCGAAAATGCTCCAGGAACCGTTGGTCGCCCCACAGGTGACCTGAAGCTGGAGCCATCAACTCCAGCCTCTCGTTCCGTTGGTTTAACAATAGCTTTGAATGCAACTGGAGCTATGAACTCCAATCCTGGGATTCGTTGGCTACCACAATAATAAACTGCCTGCCCACCCCCCCCCCCCCTCCCCCCAAAGACACAGACATTGCTGTTTTGGGCAATCCAAAAAGCGATCTACCAACGAGACGCGAGCTTTCCTTTCTTGCTTGGCGAGAGTAGCTTTTAAAGCAAGTATTCCTAACCAGCATCGCTGCTTGAAGGCACACGTCCAGAGCTGCATGTTTTAGGCCTGTTCTTTTCGAGCCGCAGCAAATAGTTGTTGTGTATAACACACACCAAAAAAACCTTCCCGTCAAATCAGCAAATCCCCGTGTATGAGAAGGGCCCTTTGACTTTCACTCTTGGCGCTGTCTGTGAACGAAGGTCGGCCGAAGAGTGCAGTTCGACACAATGCGCGAGACATTGTTCACTATGGGTAGAAGAGGGCCCCAGGAACCGCAGAGCAGGATTGACTGAACAATCACCATGAGCCTGTAGTTGGCTCAGCGACATGGGCTTGTATAAGATCTGCGTCCGTGATACCCCATCCTTGTCGACAGTCAAGTTATAAAGGGAAGAACCATCAATCAACATGTCAGAAAGCAGATGCCTCATGTGTTCAGCAAGCCCTGAGACAACGTGGAAGCCACGCTCGATGGGGTATATCACATTGGATGCAATTTTCACTATTGTTCAGGCCGCATGCGCGTGCTGAAGCACTCCACGGCAAGCAAGGAGGAAGGAATACCAAAGGCATACTTCGCACTCATGAAGGGCGCGACAAAGTAGCCCATCAGGCCATTGGCGCGTGTAACCTTTACGCAGCGCCAACGATCCAGGAGCTGAAGGATTGCAAGCTCAGTGGCAAGGATGCTTCTATCGCACCCACAGCTGAGGGTGAGGATGACCGGTAGATGACCGGTAGCGAGATGCTACCTGTGTGCACATGTCTGCCACCAAGATATAACAAAGGGTGGATGCGGATCCAGCATATGCCTCCGCAATGCACAGAAAAGAACCAGCGCGAGGACTTTGGAAGACCTAAGCCGGATTAACCCTGACCTCAGAGGTACCGAGGGTGACCAAGATCATGTTGTCTGTTGGCGCGCTAAACGGTCGACATTGCTCAGGGATCCGCCGTCACCGCCTGCCTAATGGTAGGCTCTTACGAGCAGTGCGCAAAACCCATTGACTTAAGCTTCCACCAACTGAGGAAGAGATATGGTTTGTGTAGCCGTTCCTACCGACACAAAACCAGGCAGTAGAACCACCCACAGAGGTGTCAATTGGATTTTGTTTGCTCAAACGGTTAATAAAACCTTGCGGGCCCAAGGTCCGTAACCATCTCCTGAAGCGCCTTGGTCGCCAGTAACGTCGCCACAGTGTCACTCTTCTTGACATCTCCACGAATCTTGAGCATCCCCTCAGCGCGGCAAAGCACCATACAGCCCACGCTGAAGGAAGTGGACAATCACTCTGATGCCAAAGTCGACCATCCCCCGTACTTTATCAAATGTTGATCGGGGTTCCGTTGGTCCTGAATCTATTTTGCCAGGCCTGAGTCTATTTTACCAACCTTTCCGCTTGGATCAACTGCGAGAATATCATGTCCTGCTGGTTTTTGCTAGCAAGTGACATTAGTGGCACACTTGGGTCTTGAACAACGTTATAAGTACAGTACACAAACCTCTCTCAAAACCATCATGGAGTTTCAACAAACGGGCCCGGGACAATTCTAACAAACAAGGGGGCTTCTAATGATGTTGTTGCTGGAGACTTGTCCCATCTTCATTTGGGGAGGACATGGGAGGACACCCCAATTTCCCATGTGAAGTACAAGTTTGCGCGAGGCTATCTGACTTGTTAATAGAGGGTTGCCTCAAGCACCTTATCAAGTATCTAGGCTAATGGTTGGCGGGGGCCTTGAGTCTGGTGTATAGTGCCTTGCTGGTTCTCAGGGAATAAGGACATGAGAACGCATGAACCACGTTGTGGTTTCCCGCAAGGGGATTTTTAGGTCGTTCCCAGCACCCTGGGAAACTCCCTACTGAGATCCAGTCAATGGACCATAGTCTGACCGTTTTGGCACATCTAGAAAACTGTCTTGATGTGATCCATCCCTGTAGAATATTAAAAGAGTACCAACAGATTCCCAACAGAGCCAACAGGGGGAAGAACCGGTGAAATCCACCAAAAGCGCACGCAAACCGTTTTTAGATGATATACGGCGTCCAAGTATGCAGCCGCAATACTATCCCTGGGATTTACATGGGAGCTTGTGCAACTTTCCAGCTAAGAGTCCATGCGATGTAGACAAGTGCCTTCACGCCAAGGAAACACATGACGCTTGTCTGAAATTTCTTGTTCCGGAAACCGCCATCTTCGCGAGAAAACAAACAACCTTTCGCGGACCCCATCGCACAACCTTCGCGGGGCTGTTTTCAGAACATTCATCACAAAAGTAGGACACGAAGCACACTTTCGCGGCCCCAGCTGGAAAGTCGCAACCTTTCAGTTCCAAAGTAGCACGCGAAGCTCACAAGCCGTGAGCTACACATGAGAGGACCCGTTGGCCTCATGTCCGGAAACTGGCAGGGAGGTCCGTCGACTTTCGCGAAGCTTTCGTGGATCTTACGCCAAACAGTCGCGAAAATCCGGCTGGAAGTTGCACTCAACTTGACCCGAAAGCTTCAAAACTCCCACAAGCTGGTTTCTGCTGGCTGGGGGTTGCTTTTGCAGCGGCGTGTTCTTGTGGCGACACTCAGGCTGCACATTCCCCGATCAGCTTTTGTCTGAGGGCATTCTGCGCGCAATGCCGGTAAATACACATGGTTCATCACTCCAGCTTCCTGTGAGCAAGCCACCCTTACACAAAACTGTCGCGAACAAAAAATAACTTTCGCGACCACCTTCGCGGAACTTTTGCGGAGGTCAACGCTAAGACCAAAAGGTCTTCCCCTTGATAGCTCAATACAAGGACCTTTCGGATGGCTCTCACATGCAACTAGATGCAACCGTCTACTGTTCAGTATTGTTCAGCAAATGGATGCAATGCAATTGGACCAACTCTGGAAGCTTCATACATTCATCGTCTTTGCACCAACGGATACAACATCAGTTTGCACATGTTTGCACACAGCTCCAGCGGGTACCTCATCTCACGATGATTCATATGCAACAAATACATCTTCTCTTGGGAAAACTCATATTACCTGAAACCGACACAAATATCAGTCCGCCGCTCTCAGACGCTACAAGGTTCAGACTTTGCTCCCAGCTATCATTGCTAGACACCTCTGACATCATCCTGACCAGATCTGCTTCACATCTTCCACGAGAACCATGTTTGTCGGGGTGTGCGTTCTGCCCTGGAACATCATAGTTGAACCAATGCTTTCGCAGCTCCTTGCTGGCTAGAAGGGAACAAGGCCACCAAAAGGGGCAAGAGGGCAGAATGCCAAGAAGGCAAACGTCTGCCAATGTCCCGCCTGGACCAGCTCGGTGACATCCATGGTGCCGCTGCCATCGGCGTCAATCACCTGAGAGAGACAAGCTGGCGACGTGTAGTCTGTTTCTGCAACCAGACAGTTGTTTGTGGGCGCCAAGGCCGGTGGAGTCGAGAAAAAACTGGGTCCCCAACGTGGCATTGTTCCAACAGGCGTCTTTCTTCAAATAGAAATCAGCCAGTCTTGGACGACGTCACCAACTGAATGTGAAATTCTTTGGAAGGCCAAGACTGCGCGAATCTACGTTTCCAGCAATCGGGACACCATGTGCGACGGGGGTCATGTTTCTAAGTCTAGAAGTGAGCATGTCAGAACCCTCAGGTGTCCCTGAAAAGCGAATAGGAAACCGTTGACCAAAATTAAGCTAGGTGTGTTGGCTATCAGGAACGATTAACAAACCTGACCTTCCCAGAGGGTCCCTTGGTATCTTTTAATGGCTTTTGAGGGGTAAGGCTTCAAAGTACCTCCTGAGGTACTGAGGGACCCTTGGGTCTTCGGAGCCTTGAAAGGCCGAGGCCGTTTTGAGCCCCGGCCTCAAACAGGTTGGCACGATCGGGAGGTAGGTCCAGGTCGTCCATGAGCGTTTGCACCGTGCGATCCTCGTCGGGATCTTCGAACGCTGAAGTTTATTGGACAACCCGTGGCACCTACCAAAGGACCCCTCTAAAGCCATCCTCAAAAGGTACCAAGGGTCTCACAGGCACACCAAAACAACATGTGCAGAAAGTGTTCACGCATGTCCTTTGACAGGTACATTGTGCTTGGCAGAGCAACGGCAAAGCAACGCTGCCAAGCGCATTGACATGGCTTCCAACTACTGGGCATGTGCTGCCTCATGGCCACTAGTCGCTATTCTCTGAGTTCTTTAAATGAGGCACGCTCAAAAATATTTGTTCCCCCAGAGGGCATGGAGAAATGAACGAGTCCCCTCATTTAGGTGGAACATTTAGTGAGTCCGCACTTCCCTCCCAAATGAAACAAAGATGGGATTGTTCTGGCACCTCATGTGAGTGGATGTCCAGAGTTCTTTGCAAGATGTTGTACCGTCCTGAATGCCATTCTTGCAACTTGCCTGGAGAAAATCAATACATGCTACGCATTCGGGAACAAAGTTCAAAACACAGCCAGTTGATGATGGCCCTTCCTTGCAACATCGAATCTACCTTCTGCCCAGCTGTTCTTGTTGCACGGAACTCTGCACAATGTTCAGCTTACAACGTGATAGTCTGATATGAGAAGTTCTTGAATTCAATCGCAGCAACAGGTTTGATCATGTCATCACTTTCAAGTTTGACTTCCCGATCGCCCTTTTTCCCGGCGACATCTGATCATCAGTCCTGAATGACCAGCAAGAACAACTCTTTGGTGATCGCCTGAAAGGAGCAATCCAGGGCGCATCAAAGGTTCAACTGTTTTGCCACACCGAGGTAGACTTTAGCCCAGAGGTGGCTTCTGCCCCCGCAAGAGAAACCACTGGGTTGAAGACACCATGGGGTGGAATCCCAGCTGACTAACCACACAAACATGGAACTGCACATTGCCTCGTCAAAGACCGTTGTACATGTCCATTATTTTAGGAGGGTACATGCCAGGGCGGAATCGACGAAGGACAAAGCGCACGCCCATGTCCCCTCCTAGAGTTCTGAAGCTTCCCACGGGCGGTTCACAAAATCACAAAGGTCCAGCCTCTTGAAAGTTGAAAGCCAACCTTAGACAAGGTATTACTTAGACTGGACATCAAGCACCCGCTCGATGATCCCAGTCAGAACCGAATGTGGAGGGACATAAAAGATCCCAAAAGGCAGCACAGCGGACAAGGAGGGTCAATCAAGATCAAACAATATGACGTGGACCCTCACACTCACTCTAACCTTGAAAATGGAATATTGCCTCAAAAGGAGGAGTGATCTCCGATTGTACAGCGTAGTTTGAGGGTCCAGGCACTCCACGTGAGCAAACAAAACTGCATTCCACGGTCAAGGCTTGACGTTTCCAAGCAAGCTTGCTTTCAAACAACTGGGCACACATACCATGCTTGATGTTTGGCTATCCCCATGGCATCTTCCAGCAAGTGTCGCTGCAATAACCATATTCATTACTACGCTCTTGCACAAGTTCGAGAACAAAGCCGGCCTGTGATTTTGTCGGATCTACGATTGGTCTTTAGGGGACGGTAGCAAAGCAGGGAGACAACGGTTGTCTAATCCATCCCATATCCATGGAAGCACGTACATTGGATCTAGGCAACTTACGGTTCATAAACATGAAAGGAACTCCCAAGTAAGAAGCTGTCGTGGCTTTACCCCCAAACGTTCTAATTTGCTCGGAAGGTCTTCACACTTGAGGCCAGTTGCGATATCATGGATATCCTCGTCGGTGTAGGTGGAGGTGGACTGGTTCAACTCGAAGTTCGTCGTTTTGCTCGCCTGGCCAGAAACAAGGAGCGACTGCGGAGGCGCAAATCGGGCACGAAATCAGCTGTGTAGCACGTCAGTTGCGTCCAAATACGGTCTGCCCCATGGAAAAAACGGCTGTGTCAGCTGTTGCTCCATGAAACAGGCAAACAGAACTTTGAGCAGAAGGAGAAACGAAAGGTAGAAGAGCAAAGCAACTCGCGAATTTTCTCATGCGAACAAATATGGCTTTAGCTAAGCGTTGGCTGTTTTGAGTGTAAAACAAGAAGCTCCGAAAAGGAGTCAACAGGGTCAAATGCGCAAGCCATCTTCTTTTGCCGCACAATTCTGAAAGGTACAAATGTGTAATGAGAAATCACCAACTGCATCCTAAAGCAATGCCATCTAGACAGAATCAACACTCAAGTGAGAAACAACCGAAGGCACGCAGATATATGAAACCGATCAAATGCCACCTCGACAGATTCAACTTCTCGTGGGACTTTGTGGAAATGGTGATTTGTATTCACGGACTTCGTCAACTGAGGAGTTGACACTTCTCACAGCGAAGACACACACACACACAGTGTCTCTTTCTGCATTCACTAAGTCACATTTTAGACAGAATTAGCTGTCTCAGAGTCAGAGCAGTTTTCGAAGACTTGCACATACAAGAAAATTGTGTCTGTCTTTTCTCTGTGTTTCAGAGAGATTGCACTCGTGTATATATATATATATAACTACATCTGTATCATTTGCCACATTAGCTCAAGGCCCTTACCTTGTCACACACTCAAAAGCGCGTGCAAAAGGAGCCATAGCTGTCCGTGCCTTCCAGCAATATTTAAGGGAAGAGACAAACAGGATCAGCAGGACACATTCGAGGTTCCTCAATCTCCGATTGACAATTCCTTTAGACTTCGGAAATATATCCAGGGAACCAAGTGCACCGTCTACTACCGTGGGGTCCCTGGCATCGGTCCACAGGGTGTCGGCGAGAAAAAGCAACTCCACCCCAGACCGCCTCTAAAAGAAGCCCTGCTAATCCAAGGAAGTACTCAAGGTAGCCACCTAAGGGCTACCTTTCGTGACTACTCGCAAGCCACGCACAGTGACGATCGCTGTTGATGGCCCTGATGCAAGCAATCCAAACTGTGAGAAGCTGCATTCCTTACGCTTTTGAAGGAGTACACTCGGGCAAACAAATTCACGTGGACTCAAACCAAGACAACTTGGCTGGATGGACAATGTGGGAAGCCTACTTGCCGATATGATTTGCTCGTTAGTCGGTGGGTGGACCATTCCCCCTTTTGCTCGTCCCCCAAAGCCGGCCAGTCAAAGCCATCTGCTGCCAAGAATCCGGCATCTCAGGTTTCCCTTCGGGATGGTTGTCGTGGTACGAGAATGCCCTGTAAGCTTGCGCAAACTTCTTCAGCAGTTCTCCTCAGCCATTCATGACAGGAATCCACGCGGATTGGCATACTGCAGCAATCCAGGGTACATTCACAGCAACTTGGCAAGTGTGTGACTGTTTGATTGTTCGAACTGTGTATGCAGGTAAGCGCGGATCTGCAGGCTGCGGCCTTGAATAACTCAGTGCAATCGCACTGTGGCAATGAGGAAGCTTGCTCGCACAACTGAAGTTCATGCAAGCCCATAAATAGCATGAACTCTGCAATCCACAAGCCAGACCGCGTCAAGCACAACAGGGGAGTCACATTGATATGCCAAAAGCGCACTCAAAAGAACTGCCTCTCACGGTCTTTGCTCTAGCTCTGCTGGGACACTCTTAAACCCTTGGGATCCCTTGGGCAACATCGAAAACAGGGCAAGCACAAGTGTCCAAACATCCTGGGTGTGTAGCAACACCGCCAGACAGACAGACAGACAGACAGACACAGACAGACCGACCGACAGACAAACAGATAGACAGACAGACATACAGACAGACAAAGACGGACGGCCTGACAGACAGACAGACAAACAAACAGCTGAGTCAAACTGTTTCCAACAAAGTCCAAGCCGCGTGTGGTCCGGGCAATACGAATGGACTCTCTCGCGTGTTGCTCGGAGGTGGTAGCCTCCGTCTCCTGGTTCAGTTGGGAAAAAGGTCCTCTGGGAAAAAAATCTCTCATTTGTCTGACAAGTTGCGCTTAGGTGAACTTGTTGCTTAACAGCCAACAAGAAGAAACCCCCCACGGGAAACAGGGCAAGCAGGGCAGCTAAGTTGTCAACGCGAGTCTGGTGGACACCCAAAATGAACTGATATTTGCGTGCAGGTTCCGCTTGTTTGCCAATTTAGTTTTTACCAACTTGCAGTTGGCAACGCTGGGTACGTTTTCTGAAGCAGCAGTAATTTTGCACGCTGGGCAGCATCAAGGGGACTGCAAAGTCGATGTACAGCAAGCGTCGACTGAACCACATGTGAAATAACATGTTCACAGCCAGTGTGTAGCTGAACTTTAAGTGGCCAGATTGTCAATGCTCGACAATAATTCCCTTTCCCACGCCAAACAGTCATTCAACCACAGGGTTCCAGAGGCACGGTGAGCTTTGGGGATTTGGACGCAGTCGCTTGAAAAGGGCCAGAAGGTGGGGCCGGGTTTCTCTGCGATAGGTAAACACTGCATTGCTATGGTTAAGTTTAATCATTCACGGCCTACCCACAACAATGCTCCAAGAACCCTGTTTAAGAACGTTCCAAGAATCTTTCGTTGCTTCCCCAATAGCGTGCTTGCCTGCATAGCTTGCCATAGTAATGTAGGGCTTGTTTGCAAAGGCAAACACGTCTGGTAGGCACCCAAGGCCAAGCACACTCCCCAGTTCAATCATTGCAGTAAGGAGCCACGCAGCTCGCCTTCCAGAAATCTGCTGTAGCAACAAGCTCCGGCAGTGGACCAGGATAGAAGTACGTTCTGCCTCTTGAGCCTTTCCGATTTTGTTTTCTATCCTTGGCCTATCACGTTGGCCCACCCCTCCCAAGGGATGGGGTGTTCTGATCATGGCAGCTGAGGCCCGAGCCTTTGCAGCTCTCATGGTGATGTCAACATAAACCTCAGATGAGCGGTATCGAGCGGTCTTTGTCCAGCGCTATTCGGCGCAAATTTGTGCAGATTGTCTGACCCGACAGCCAGATAGCAGTGTCACGTATCTGTGGCGACATGCTCCCAAGATGCGTCAATAAACGAAGACATAATATGATACTGCATGTTTACAGGCTCATGCGTGTACCAAGACGCCGCCAGGATGACGTTGAAAATTCCTCAGCTGCGGTCTCCTTCCTCTCTCTCTCTCTTTCTCTCTCTCTCTCCCTCCCTCCCTCCCTCCATACTCTCTTCCTCTTTACGCTTACTTTCTCCCTCTTCCTCCGCCTCGTCTTCCTCCAGTCCCTTGATTCCAGAAGCCACTGAGCGAACTGGGGCGAACTCTGTCAAACTAGGCTTGCCAGCTACCCCAATGGCCCGAACACTGTATGTTGTTATCGGCAGGAAAGCCAAACCAATGTTCAACGGTTTGCAGCAACTCTCTCTCTCTCTCTCTCTCAAGGGCAACTTCAAAGGGCACAGCGTGGCTGGATGCATTGGCCCGACTCTCGAATCAAAGTTTTTGTGCTCCCGCCCCTCTGCAACAACAGCCAGAGATTGTCAATCGAGCAGGAAACGCGTTGGGAGAACTTGACTCAAGTTCAAGTTCTAGCAAGCCACGCATCCTTCCGTGCTTTCCATACTTGAGTATGTCACAGAATAGGGGGGCCCTTTTGAACTACTTTGAAAGGGAAAAAGCAACCCAACTAGAGTTCGGGCTCCTCGAAACATCTGAACACACCCGCCACGCGCTTCCAAGTGGCCCATGGTAACAAGCATGTAGCTAATCACGTAGCCTGCCACAAAAATGATCCCAAACTCTTCCGCGAGCATTGCGTGGATGGGAGTGCCTGGCGTGTGGCCATTAGTTGTCTCACCAAAACCCGTTCTTTCTTTTCAAGCACAAACCAAACTCTGGCCACTTTCTGAGAAGAACGACATGGGTTTGTTCATTTATGGCCAACAAGCATGTTGCGATGGCTGCGAAATATGTTATGGGCATGTGACATGGCGGGATCCCCACCATTGCGGATTCGCTTTAGGTTCCCTTTAACGTGACACACCGAAGCGTACCCTCAAAATGACACACCGGTAAAACATTCTGATCCCTTGCGAGTCCAAGTTTAGCATGGTTTAGCACGTGTCAACACACCTGCTGAAGCTAAGCTGTGACGCTGGAGTCGAGGTGAGGCGTCAAGCGCAGACGATCATGCAACCGTCAGTACATGTTCATCTAAGGTTCAGTTGCTTGTGTGGGTTGAGGTATGCAATGGTGACATGACTCTCCTCAAGTGAAACAACATTCTGGCTACCTGAGGTAGGTGTCGGTGCCAAACACAACTATCCGCACATTCAAAGGCCCAATATGGACTCACGACCCCCTAGCATGAACCCCTTAACCAATCGCAGCCACAGGCCTCAATATGGCCATGGTTTCATTTGTGGGTCAACACAGTTTGCCTTTGAATTCAAATGCAGCAGTCCATCCTTGTGTCCACTTCTCTCAGGGTAAGAAAACGAAAGCAGGTGCAATCACCTGCAACTCATTCGGATTGCCAAACCACATAAAAGGTTTCTTTGTCTGAACTGTCTGGACAAGCCTTCAAGGCCCGGTGCTGTCCATCCAATTCGCTTGATTTCGAACATGAACAACTGGGTAACCGCAAATGGGTTCTAAACAGGTGGGATGCACATTGCCCTTTGCGATCGGAACCCGGCAGCTCTGGAGCTCCAGAGCGTTTCGCGTGGCATTCGCGACATGAGTGCAAAGGCGGATGCAAGGCCACGCTCCAAAAGGAAGCTGCCTTCCAAAGCCCTTGTGTGAGCTACGCAGCTATACGCCCCGAAGCTCTCTGCGCCTTGCACGGAGTTGCACTCACCACAGAAGCAGCGGAAGGCTGTGAACATTGACCTGGGTGGGTCAGGCAAGATTCTGGGCAAATTACAGGGGTTGCTAAATTTGCCGCCCACGCATTGCAAAAGCAAACCAAAACTCGCGATGGCCATGAACCCGCAATGGTTTCCTCCTCCAAGAAACGGGACGTAAAAGGACCCCTGAATTACTACAAATCTCACACCGGAAATAAGGGCAATTCCCAAGCACCTTCATCATGAGTGAGCTCAGTAAACCCCCGAATCGGTGAGCTTGGGACAATGTGCGAGGATTACACACTGCACAAGCGAGACTGTTTGGCTATCCTCTGGTTGACGTTGCCTACGTGAGAACAGAACTTTCTACAGTTGAGGAACGCAGCGTGGTCATTTAGAGTCTGCATCTTGTGATTCATTTGACCCGGTCCATATTTTTGCAGCCTTACGGTCTAGGCTTGACGAGTAAACTGAATGTGTTCCTGTTTGGAAACTCAAAGACTCGGCTGGTAGCCACTGGGCTCAATTTTATAAAGTTGGAGACTGTTAATCGGTGTTGGACCTTTCTTTGCACAGCACATAGAATTCTCCTGCGCGCTTGTCGACAGCCAAATCCAAGTAGGAAGCCGTCTCTTTTTGTGTTTGTGTGGAACATATCGATGTTCTGCCTTGATGCATCTTCAATGTTGTTTTGACTGACATCCACATCAGTGATACTGCGCAAGCATTTGTATTGCAAATATGCTGGGCGCCAAGACTCATTGATTGGGAAGAACTGGCATCATGCTCGCCCAAACTGCAACATGTTTGGTGGCTGCATTCCTTGCGGAATCTTCGCTTGAACTTTGTGGGTGGCAGCTTGGGGGCCGCATTTCACCCCGGAAGCTTATTACCCGCCCCACCCTCCCTATAAAGTCATTTGCGTCAAAAGCCAGCAGTTGACCGGGGTAGGGTAGAAAAAGGGAGCCCTTTGTGGGGTTCGCCTTTTTGGACAAGGCGCCAAAGGGAAAGCGGGTGGAGCCCACTGAACTGGGGAATAGACTGCGTCCAGTTACCCGAGCAAAGAACGGGAGGCGCGTGCAACGCGAAGGGTCGCCCATGACAGCCTACAAATGGAGAAGCTTCACCAAACTTGCCCTCTCTGATTTGGCGACACGACCCTTGACCCCTTCCCTTTCAGTCCCTGAGCTTGACGAGCTCGAAGGGCTGAAGGCGAGCCGTGAAACTATTGCCTGTTGGCTTTACGCATAGAACTGACACGAGATGTCTCCCACATAACTTATGTTATTTTGTCTTCTCAAAGGACAACCTCACGTCCTCCGGATCAATCGAAGAGTAACGCTCCGTTTGCGCGCTTCTCACATTGATACTGTCCTTGTCAACTACTCCGAGAGCATGCTACTGGGTACCCAAGCGTGGCGGTGAACTGGAAACAATTACCCTTCCCCTTTGGCTTCCTTTTGCTGAGGGCAGCCACCATGTCCTAAAAAGGCACCCAGCTTGCACAAGCCGTGCCCAGACCCAAAGATGCCTAAAGCGGAGGCTTCCGCTAGGTTCGCCAAGAAATTTTAACACCCCACCTCGGTGGCACCCTTGAAAATTCCTTGAAAGCAGGTTATGGTAGGTTCGTCTCTTGCAATCATGGGTAGCTTTCCTCCAACGGAGGTCCCCAGCTCCCCCTTCCGACGAGCTACGACGGGATGTTTTCGAAGGACCTGGACAAGCCCAAGGCTTCCGTCTTCGCGTCCCGGCCAATGGTCATGGTCGCGAAGCCTTGCTGGGATGTCCGATGATGTCCGGGAGTAGAGGAATGGCTCAGAAAATATGCTTGATACTTCACAATGAGCATCAATCCCCAAAAAGCACTTGGAAGGCAGGGAACAATGATGGTCGCTTGTTTCGATTTAGTGGAGAGAACATTGGAGATGTGGCCACTCTGTCAAGAGGCTTGGCTTGGTCTCATTCTGGCGTTCTCCAAACAACCATTGGAAAGGGCTTTCGCCGTTTGATAGACTGGATTCACCATGGGAGGAAGGGGAGGGGGCATGAGCTCGAAAAAATACAGTTTGTGAAATTAGAGCGGCTGAGATGTGGATGCTCAATGTTTGATGTGCAAAGAAAGGGAGTGCTGACAACTGATATGTTTACTCCCAATGTTCATGGGCCTGAGAACAGATCTTTCAGATTTTGGGCCTCTTGGAGTATCCATGCAGCTGGAATCTTCAAAACATGGGAAACCGTCAAATATGGATTTGGACTTGGACCCCCAACACAAATGTCTTCCTGTTGGGTTTCCTTTCAACCAACTTTTTAAAGGGTACTAACTCCAAAACACACACACACACACACTGAAGACACACACACACACAGGCACACCCCGTAGATGGCTCAATATGGAAACCAAAAAGGAATTCACTCCTTTATTTTTTTGGGGGATAATTTTGCGGCCATGGGGCCGGAGATAACGTATAGAACCGCGAACAGCAAGGCAAAAGCCAGCAGCAGCGTCCGCAGCCCAGCCACCAGGCCCTTCACCATGAGCCGCAGCTCCTCCGGGCAACTCGAGACGACTTTCAGAAGGCTGGCCCTAAACTAGGCAGGTTTCGCCGGCCAATTAAACAGCGGTTGCTTACACCTCGTCACATCCCACAAGTGCCCAAGCAGGAAGGAGTGCAGCCACTAAAAGCCGTCCTTGGTGAAGTTTGACTGTTTTGCAATCCGGAAGTTGCCAAAGGCAAGCACGGAGCGCAAGCTCGCAATGTTCACTTGCTCCCTAGGCCAAAACGCGCCCTCTATGAGCTGATACTCGTTCCACCGGATCAGTGACGCGGGTCAGATCAGGCAATTTCTGCAGGTCGGTCATAGATCGGGAATGGAACAAGTATGCTGATGTACAGGCTTTGCACTGTTAACCTTTTCAGACGTCTCGGGTGTGCATACTGGAAATATTCAACATACTGACAGGATGATCCCATGAAAAAAGAAAAACAAAAAACAATCAGCTCAACACTAAATTGCATGAAGGAAGTCCTACCTTATGCTGATCTGACAGCCCAAATGGGTGGAATATGAACAAACGCGCAACGCAACACCTCGAATGTGTCCCAACTCAACGCATTGCAGCTATTCGCCAGCAAATTAATCTGCGTGCCGCCTCAAGCTCATTTTTTGTCACACTCATTGACACAGGGCCGGACAGCTCTGCAAACTCTCTTTAACTTGCATATGGGTGTGCCGTTGAGGGCAACCTTTGTGGGGTTGCTTTAACGGAAGAGAAGGACACCACCAGCCTTTTTTGTGTCCTCCCTCTTGAGACGATCTCATAAAAAGGCATTCTTCAATTGAACAAATCAGAAGGGAGCTGAACAAATCAGCCCTGTCAAAGTGGGTTGACCGGTCTACCTTACAGATATGAGCGCCCGCTCCTTCATGCACTTCAAGCGGAACACTTTCCTTGGTCATCAGCGCTTGCATTGCCACATTCACTGTCTGCACTGCGGTGGGAGCCATTCCCAGATCTCCAGTCTCCAGTGGCAAGGAAAAAAAAGAGTGCCCTTTTCAGTAGTTGAACTTAAAGGGAACGCCAAAGGAAACATGGCATCACAGGATGCCAGTTTGATTGCTAGGCTGCACTACAGGGAAAGTGGTATACCCGCTAGAGCCTATGGACCAAGTCACTTGTGTTGCTGCAAGAATCCGTTAAGTTGGAGCCACTCAACTCATGTCCAAGGAAATGTTCAGCCTGCTTGCCAGCAACAAAGCAACGGCCCATCATCACACCTCTCATGTTCTTCCTTCAATCAAGGTGTCCAAAACGAGGCGCCATGCCTTTCTGTTTCCCACCAGCTTAGCAAAGTAATTCTCAAGCCTCTCAAGGCACGGATATACATGCCATCCCGCATATCCCGGATTGAGCAAGCAAGAAGTCCAAAAAAGCGTTCTCACCGCCGCGCCTGGGCCGGTACGCAAGATGCTGCTGCAAGCGCTGCGTGGACCAGAACTTTTTCAAGCAAGCAACGCACACGTCACTCCCAAAAGTGTATTGCCGTTCCGGCGCAAAACAAACATGCTTAGTGTGCAAGTGAGCCCCGAGGTCCCAGAGTCATGAGCACACATTGCGGGCACACTATCCAAGGCTTTGCTAGCTCTTACCCTTTTGTTTTATTTCCAGCAGGAACCATTCATATGACCCACAAACAAAATAGTTCGTTTGCCAAGAGGACACGGGCAAATTGGCTTGTCCCTCTGGTGTTTCTGCGCATCCAATTTTGACATGCAGTTCATCCGGCATTCGGTTTCATCCATCCCAAGTATTATGTTGTCCATCCACCGTAAAGCAACAGTAGACTGCCAAACATATTTGCATTCTCTTGTGGTAATTTGGGGCTCGTGTGGCGAATGTCAGCCCATTTGCCACAGTAGATGATGGTGAATGGTGACTGTGGCTCAGCACACTGCCAATAATATCCTGTCCGATCCTCCGCGATGTGGTTTTTGTGGGAAGTTTGGGTTGTCCCTCCATGCCCTGCCCAAAACATAAGATTCCAACAGTAGACTGCCCATCAGTTTCTGAGTGACTCAGGTGAGCAGCGCCCTTTGACTTTGACTTTGACGCTTGATGCGGTCTGTGCCGCCGTGAACGATCGCCAGCCAAGGCGTGCGGATCGTCACAATGTGTGAAACGAATCATGGATGGAAAATGAAATTCAGGTAACGCCCGTTGTGGGCAAAATGATCCTGCAGCACTGTGGCTGCCCGAATATTGGAAATGAACTTTGTCCTCAACATCACCCCGTGTGCTTTGTGCACACTTCTGCCAATGTGCAGATGCAGTTCCAGGCTGAAGAGAGGCGGGGAACACAGATATGCCTTGCTTATAGATCCATTTGATGGCATGGGTGAAAGCATGCACATCCTGGCTCATGACAGTATTCACAGCATCTGCTTCAAGCGACTCATCACGCAGAGCCCAAACAAGTTTCGGTCTGTTTTTGGCACAAGTCCCGGAAATTTTCACGGGCGCCCTGGTACATGTTTCAAGGACAAATGCAGCGTACAGCTCACAGCAAGAAGTATCACCAACAGGGTGATCAGCCGCCCACTGCAAAGTCGCAGCCCAGCACAAGATCCTACGTGCAAATTCCGCCGTGAAAGGGCAATGAGTCAGCTGTTCCTGACGCCAGATCAAGTCATGTTCAAGGATGGGAGCATCGGGCTCAACCACAAGACAAGACAAGTCATGAAAGGATGTGTGGACCCGGGGCTTGGCAACAATATATGCGTGGGCCGAGTCCACCAAAAATTGGTGATACAGCATGTACTGCTTTCGGAACCTTGTCTGACGTGCTTCAACCTGCTTAAGCTTTCGCAAGAGTGGCGCGAAACGAGATTGTATGAGGCCTTTGGCCGCACTGTCAGCAGCGTTATTATGACAAGCGGTCCAATAGTCAAAGGGCGTGGTCTGCGCAGCCTCAGTCCTATGGGCCCTGACCTTGACAATCTGGATTGAACCTGGAGGATGAAGTGCGGCTTGCACGCACCACTTCTCCCACAAGTCGGCGTGCTCCCAATGCACAGGAAAAACGAGACCGGCCTGAAGTGTATGTTCCGCTTTCTCAAAGAATGTTTTACAATCAGTGTAGATTATGCAATGGGCGGCAACTTCGAGGGCAATCAGGCCACCCAGGATTTCAGCACGCAGGATACATTGGTCCACACCTGGCAAGGGTTCACAGCGGTGCACGGCGTTGCAGAGGGCCTCAGGCTGGGCAACAACAACCGCCGACCCTGCAATGGCCAGGTGACGATCCTTTGGGAAGAAGCAGGTCCCATCAACAAAAAGGTGCACCTCGGTGGTGTCAACGGGACGCCTCAGCTCAGGATCGATCATGAGGAACAACTCCTGCTTGAACTGAAAACACTCAATTTGAAGCGGACAGATTCCGAAGAGCCACATGGCTTTTGGTTGGTTCTTCATGAATTCCAAGCATTTTTTATATTTATGTCGTATCGGCGCAATTGCTTCACAATTGAAGATACGATGCTCTCTGGAATCATTCTGGTCACACAACGGACATTTGGGTGTGACATAGTGATTCCACTTACTGATGATATCATTCGTGAAGTTACTACCAGCAAAGAAAGCTGTGAGAGTGGCAACATCACTGCCTTTATATTTTTCAAGGGATTTTTCCATACAGACCAGGTCTGGTTGAGCTAGGCCATCAGCAACCCTCGCTTTATGTACCTTAGGGACAACATGCGCTGTCCATACATGATTGAGGGCCCAAGCGAGGAAGGACCTCGAGCAAGAAACCCATTTTATCCTACCCAGGATGGGGAAGACAGCAATACCGCCCACCTCAAAAACTATGTCAAGTCTTGACGTTGCTACCACAAAGGCATACGCCGGGCCAACCGTTGAGCTCTGGTTGACAAGCAAGGCCTCAAATGCCCCAAAGACCCTTGGGAACAAGTGTGCAAAACGTCTCCAAATTTTTAGCCGTCGCAGCAAGTCAGCAAACTGGGGGTCAAGGCTACGCCCGCACATGGAGAGGGCCATGTAGGGATTCTCGCCTGAAGTAGCATTGCCCATGGCTCGAGCCGTGGCAGTACGCAGCTGCTTAAATTCATCAAGCGAGATACTCACAAACTCGGAACCGTACGCAGATTTGGGCAGGCAACCACCAGTAACAAGCTTCTTCTTAAACCTCCAAGAAGCTCGAATACCTCTTGCTTTGCTGAGTGCTGCTAAGGTTGCAGAAGCACGTTTTTTCCATACTTTTTTCACTTTTACTTTGGAGTAGCAGGCATCCACCCCTAAGTCACACGAGTGATTTTTGACCGGGATGAGTACACCATCGTGCCGCAACAAACGGAGTGCTTTGCGCACAGAAGGGCGGTTTGACCATGTCCAGCACTTCTTGGCTTGAAACTGTACCTTGGTGGCATCTGCAAATGCCTGCACGCTAAGCAAGGCGCAATGCAAATCGTCCATCGAGCTGGCTGTAAAAGACCAATTGTCAACAAAGAAAAAGGGGGTGACAGAAGCCCCTGCGGCCTGGCACAGGCAAAAAGCTACACGGGCAAAAATTGTCATGGCAATTACCGCCATTGAACACCCTTCCGGGATCCCGGAGGTTGATTTCAGCAAAGGTCCAGCGTTCCCGGCAACAACAAAAGAACGGGTAAAAGTGGCCAGGATATTGATGTATGCAAGGACGTACGCAGGATGAATCCCTGCCCAAACCATTGCGTAACACAGCGGATGGCGAGGGATAGTGTTATAACACTTGATGAGATCCAAAACACACCCATGCGAAGGGGATTTTTCAACATGCGCGACCTCGAGTTGCAAAGCATGCAGGGCCGATATATCAGCCGCACACAAGTTTTTAACCCCACCTGCCAAAGAGTCAGGGACGCGAGGCGAAAGCCAATCAGAGATAAGCGCGGACCTGTACTTGGCCCAGCACCTGTAGATTCGGCTCATAATTGTGATCGGGCGTATTTGCAACGCAGAGGGCACACCATCTGCTTTGGGGAGGCAGGCCACTAAAGCAGTTGTCCACTGCGCCGGCCACTGCGCCCCTGCCTCTATTTCATGGAAAATACTGAACAGGGCTTCAAGGTGAAAGTCGGTCAGAGCCTGCATCTCAGTGACAGAGAAAGCACAGGTGCCGCGTGAAGATTTTTTCTTTACTCCAGCCATAAGTTTTTTCCAAACAGGCAAGTCAAATTGTTTATATGACATAGCCTCCAGCTGAGGAGTCGACCTGATCATTTCGAGGGCAGGCCCCCAGCTGGCTATGTTGTCACCTTCTGGTTCCCTTCGCAGCCAAACATTCCAAACGTCAGCGAGTTCCTGATGACAAGCATTGGGGCAATTGAGCTGTTTGACAAGACAAGGTCTAATGGGCACCTTCTGAATCCGGGCTGGCGGGGCAATTGTGAATGTGTGCCGCCTAACCCCCGTGACGATGTGCACGGATTCGTCCTCAAAATGCACCACATCACCTACTGCAAGCTCTCGGTTCCGTGGGAGAGGCAACGCTGCGCAGGCTCTCTTTTTGATGGGCACACGTGGGATATGCAGGATGGATTCCTGAGTGATGGCACTGATTGGCGGGTTATGCTGCTCACGCAGCCTCTGGAAAGAAAGTGCTCCTCCCTTGTGCCAATCACGGAGAAGCTTTTCAGCATCCAATTTTTTACGCTCAAGGATATATGTATTTTCTTGGGTAGCATACCACTGATGAAAACAAGACAGCAAGTGCTGCGCACCAGACAGCGGTGGCATGGATACCCAAGCAAAGCCGCACTGATCGAGTTGCCATTGCTGGAAGTTCCTATGAAACCCTTGCGCATGGAGAATGGACTGCCACAACATGCACAAAGAAAACCACGAGTTTTCGGATTGATTTACCTGATACGCCTTAAGCTGATTTCTGAAT